AACAACAGCAACCACGGCAGCAACAAACCATAAAAGAACCTGATCAATGGTGCCCTGGAATATCCATTTTGATGTGCATGATGCAATCCTGCTTCTCTATCAGTGATGTGGAGGTGCCGTGAAAACCAACTGAGCTATAACTTGCACAGAGCAGAGCTGTGGGTGAATTATGAAAGTAATTCCCTGGCAAGTGTAATTATTTCTCTCCTCATACACTGCACTCATCACGGGGTCTGGGGAAATTTTAGTGGAATGTAACAGACACACTCTTGGCCTTAGCCACGAGAATGGTAGAACACTTCTGCTAAAAACCGGAGATTCTTGTTTACACTCATTAATAACATCTTCTACATTAATGAATTGCATTCATGCTGTCATCCATTAAGAAGGTACTTTGAGGTCTCTCTCTGCACAGAACACTAGCTTCTCCTGATGACTCTATTGTTATACAGCCCATAAATAAAACAAGTATTTTCCCTTCATATTTGAGGTCTGCAATTAAATCTACTAAATGGACTGCAGATGCATGGTTTACAGTAAGTGATTCATCTTGGAATATCGTGGAAATGTCAAAGTCACCACAATGAAGTAACACAGTTGTCAAATTAGGACGATTTCAGAGAGTAACGAACACCAGAAAATTCATCTATGCAAGCCAACCTTCTTCCTGACTATGGCCAGCGATGAAGAACTAAAACCCTGGAGTAGGAAACCCTGTATGCCACAGAAATGATGATCTTATGCTAATTTTTCAAATGAGAAATTGTATTTCCTGAAAGAATAGTACATAGTGAGATGATATGATAGTTGACAGAAGTTTGTTACTAAGTACAGCCTCCAATGTGCTAAACTTCAGAGAGGGAGAGGACTCACCTAAGGAAAGGAAAAGGTCTATTGTATTAATAGAGAATATTTGACAGAAACAGAGAAAAACTGTCCAGTGATAATATAATCTTCTCTGGAACAGTCTAGGCTCTGAATTACAGTTCTGATATTGCTATTGTATAGCCAGCCCGCTTTCTTTACAGATCATCTTGCGATGGTAATCCTACCCCTTTGAGGAAAAAAGAAATCTCAGTTTCAGAGACAGCAGGGTTCATGGGGCACAGTGCTTATGGAAAATAGCTTTCTTCTCATTCATCAGAGCAGACCTAGTCTCATGCTCCAACAATATCCCCCATTTACCTAGAAGTGGCACATGTGGGGTTCAGATGAGCGCTGCCTGTTGAAGAGTTCCAGAGCCACACAAAGCATGAGGCAAGCCTACAGTGCACTGCACAGTCTTTCCAAAAGCAAAGTTGCAGGCTCAGTCCCTGCCCCATGCTAGGCTGTCCTGAGATTTCTTGTTTCTACTATACCAACTTTGTCATCAGTTATTATATCCTTATACTACAAATTAGATCCAGGAACCATGTGTCCTAGACACTTCATACAGCCTTGGAAATCTGGGTCTGAAGCCAAGCAATCAAAGTCAGAGAAGGAGAAAGAGAGGTATTAGTTTCTTTACAGAAGACAGAGAACTCTCAGGTGGCAGGATGAAAATGGTCCCTGAGAGCATAAAATAATTATTAATTAGTTACATCACCATCATCACTTGTTATTCACTGTATTGATTTTAATTGTCTCCTTCTAACACATCAGTCAAATATTACTCACTGACACCAATGAAGTGTTGGCTCACAAGCCCAACAAAGCATATCTTGTCTCCTCAAAAGAATAAGAAAACAACCTAGACTTCCCAGTAGTATCTGATGTGCTGAGAGTACCCATTTGTCTGCAGGCAGCTTTTATGGCCTTACTGAAGAATATGATTCCCTTTACTGGCCAGGATTATTCTCCCAATGGTGAGAATACATATCTATTTACAGGATCTGCATAGAGGAGCTGCATTTAATTTTACATTTGTATAGAAGAAAGAGGCGTCATGCATCCATTGGTAGTGAAATGGTGCTTTCATTCTGCAGCAACTATTTTCCTTTCAAAAGCACAAAGAATGTGTGGTAGTTTCAAAGCATGGTTGGCACAAGAGAGACACCAGGAAGAGCTCTTGATCATTTCACTCTTCAATAAAACTTCCAAAATCTTGGAAAACCTTACTGCTTGCTGAATTTATCCTTATCCAAGCAATCCAAAACCAAAACAGCTCAGAACTTTATGCCCTGTGCTGAGTTTGATGGGATTTCATGTGGCATAAAGTCCTATGCCCTCAGAATTACTGTGGCAGAGTCCTGTCAGCATTTCTGCTGCAAATTGCGACTAGATTTTCAAGGGAGAGGCTTAGGTCACTTCATTAAGACACGTAAGGACACAGACTAATGCCCACATAAATGTAGGGTTAGTTCTCCTTCAACAGGCCTGAAGTGTACAAATCAGCTCCTGACTCAAAGGGGGAAATGAGAGGGGAGAGTCAAACAAACTGAACTGAGCAAAACGAAGAAGGTCATATAAAGGTTTTGAGAATACTGTGTCTCTCCTTGTCCTTTCCTTCCTTCCCACAACCATTATCTCTTTCTTCAGACTGACATGTGAGCTTGCTTTGTTGTGTTTTCAAAACAATGGTTTAGATGAACCATCATCATTCACCTGGTGTTTCCATACCAAAGAAAAACAAAATGCGAATCAGGCCTGTGACATTTTTGATCCACTCAGAACCTCTAGAGATCTTCCTGTTGATCACTGCCAGTTAACAAGACTGAAGCTCAAGGTCTGCTGTGCATAGGCCCTACCCTAGCCCAAATGAATTGCTCTTGGAGAAACAGGTAAAGAGGAACTTGTGGAGACGAGTCAAGGAAAGAGGAGACAATACTCCATATATAAATACCACAAGGAAGATGCTACAATTATTCTTTGCTTGTATAAATCAAATTTGCCACCTTACAGAACAACAAATTCTTCCTCCTTAACCTCAAAGCCAAAATTTAACATTATTGAAACCTAGCTGCAGAAGAAAAAGATCTCCCCTCAAAGTAGCTCACTTCCTTGCAAGTATAACAATATGCTGACAGGCATACACAACTCCACAAAGCTCCTGGTAGGTGGATATGCAGATATGCAAGTCTGTAACTAGATTTCTTACAATCAAAATATACTACATTGTCCCAGTCCCCTTGCATGCATCTGGGGATGCATATAAACCAGGCATCTCAGCAATGAACCACACGTGTAGCTGACAACATTCATCAAGACAACATCCATGGATCTGATAACTGACCATCCTATACAAATTTTTAAAAATTAATATTTACTTTTGGGACCAATTTTTCAGAGACACTGTCTCTTAGCCTGGGCAACTGACTGTCTAATAAGTATCACTACAAGAGATTCAGGAGTAGGATTTTTCCAGCCCCTAGGTTGTAAAACTGCTATCAAGCAGAAACGAACAAATTATTAATTTCTCAATTTAGGGGCTGAGCTGTAAAATCACAGGAAAGAATTTCTGGAAATTTTCCAAATAAATAAAACTAAAAAAACCCCTCATGACAATTTTTTTTCATTCATTTTTATTTCATTTTGCTTGGCTTTTGTTTATTGGGGTTATTTTTCTTAAAATGTAGCTGCATGTAAACATGAAACAAGTGAGAACAACATATTGATGCATTTAAATTTGAAAATGCTTAAATGTAAATTTTAAGAAAAAAGAAAAATCCCTTACGTCCATCCAAAATCATTCACTGAGACCAACCCCGTTTCCACACCTTTCAACATGCCCAGGACTATATTTATCAATAAACAATCTTTTTGCCTGAAGAATTTCACCTGTATCTACTCCAGAGAGGCTGTTCCTGCCCAATGGAAGAAGCCCAAAGTTTCTGCCCCAAGACTTCGCAGCCACAGGGCAGAGATCAGGAGGACTCATGCAGTCCAACAGCTGCTGCCCACTTACAGGGTTTAGGTTGACAGTTGTCCTGGTTTCGACTGGGATAGAGCTAAGTTTTTGGGTTCATGTCACATTTGTGTGGCTTTTCTTGACTCAGAATCTCAGACCTCAGTATGTCTGGCTTCAGCTTTTTTGGAAAGACGGGAGGGAAGCGGGAACAGGGGGGCAGGACACTGGACTTAATGTAAACTCAGCAGTTCCAAACATTTGCTTCAGGAATACACCTTGGCAATGCTGATTTAACTGGAAATACTCACAAAGAGCATGAGGTATTAGAGGACATTTGTGTTTGCAGTGGAAGGTCTTAAATGGAGAAACTTTCCTCACAAATCATTGCATCACATCGGGGCATAGAGTAAATGTACGTGCCACTTTGTGCTTGGCAGTGCTATGAGGCTTTACATCCTATAAATCTATAAATTGAATTCATCCTGCTTACACCCTTAGTCTTATAAATTGTTAGACTAGGAACAGCTAATGGATCAGCTGGTGATTTATTTTTAAAAGATGCATACTGCTGCTTTTTGGGAACTGAAAAGGATAGGAACACTGCATGTACCCTTCCTGAAGCTTGGGTCCCAGGTAATGAGGAATTACTTTGTATCCTCCCGTGTCCCCATGCACATGCTTTATTCAAGTTCTCAAAGGGGACCTACTGTTCAAGAAGAGAAATGTCTGGCATTCTGCAGAGATACACTGCGAAGGAAACCGCATGCAAAGAGCGGATGAGGCATCAGTAACAGTGCCAGGTAATGTATAATGCAAAAGGATGTGTATAACTAATTTATTAGTATAAATTTGACTCTCAAAAAAAAGCAAATGCAAAGAAAACTCTAAAGGAGCAAAGCCTACCTGCCTCGCTCCTTGAGACAAACCCCAACCTCACTAAAACTAACTGTCTGAGTAAAATGAAGGAGCTTCGCCACAAATGATGCTACAAGTTACAACAGGAGACTCACTCCTGTACCTGCAGCATTGGTCAGTACAATTACTGCCAATCATAACAGAAAGAAGGATCCATCATTTCCCAAAGGCTTCTCCACTGCCTCAAGTGGGACTATGCCGCTTAGTGTGAAAGAGACGCTCTTTGAGTTTATCCCTGAAGTTAAACAAAGCCACTTACCTTTTAGAGAGGCGACATGGGATAAAGCTTGTGCGTAAGTGGCTGTGTTAAGAAGAGTCCCCGGCAAGCAGGAAGGGAAGAAAGGTCCTGCAGGACCCACTGCTCGACTCAGGCTGATGGAGAGGGGAAAACAGCTTCATTACAAAACCAGAACTAGCTGATTCCAAAGACAGCATTTGTGCATGCACACAAACATGTTGATGTCTCAGCATCCAACTAGATGGGACCGAGCCTGGATAACATTAGCCTCCTACAGCGACCAGATTTTCAGCATCTCCACAGGGAGCAGTGAGTTGCATGAGAGACAGCTCATCTTCTGATGATGTGGGCTGTACCTGAAGGTGACACTATGTAGGTCAAAGCTGAGCAGCAGGCAAGTCTGTATGTGTGTACATACATATGGCGCAAAGAGAGGCAGCTGATAACATGTATTACTCTTACCTCTGCTGGATCTCCAGACCCTCTTTTTTGTTCCTGGTTTGGTCTGCTGGAGAAGGAGAATTTAAATTCCTTGCAGGAGGTGCCACCTCAGCCATTGTTTCCTTAGAGCCCTCTTGGTCAGAAGCACCCCTCTCTGTTTTCCTCCATTTAGCTCTTCGATTTTGGAACCACACCTGGAGTAGGAGAGAAATCCAGGCTGAATACCATGTTTAGCTGAATGTGAAGCAAGGAAATTGTTACTCCAGTGAAATCAGTCATTTAGAAGCTTGGCTAAAGCTTCCTCTTATTTTGTGTCCCCATCGTTATTCTAGATGAGCCTTAGGATTACACTTGTATCTGGAATATTTCTATGTCTGGAAAACAAGCCAGGAATGTCTAAAGACATTCAAAAGACATGTTAAAAACTAAAAAAAAAAAAAAAAAAAAAAAGAGTTTTGATGTTACTGTGCCAGTAGTTAGCAAAACATTTAAACCTGTGCTTGCCTTTATGCACATATTTAATTCTCACTGATTTCTATGTTTAATATATCTAAAAGACTTTTGTATAGGGATGGACTTAAATGTATATCTAAGCACTCTGACGAAACTGTATGTAAGTCTTTAAATGAGCTGCTGCTAGAATTAGAGAGTCAGAAATGAAAAGGTATGTACTAGGCCGTTTTATCCAGCCCATTTCCTGGAGAGGACTGATACTTGCTGTTATTCCTCTGACATGTTTGTCCAGCCTGCGTTTAGAGGACTCAAAAGGTGGTAGATACTAATTTTACAACTGAATACACACCAGTTTCCAAAAATTATTTTTTTTCCTGTAATGCAATACAAATATTCATGGTTTTGATTTTATCCCCTGATTTTTAGTCCAAACACTTTTTTTTTCCATTTACCTTGGTGCTGATGCTCTGAAGGCACCTTATTTGAGGTGGAAAATGCCAAGCCTCTGTTGAGGTCAGGAAATCCACATTTTAATACATGACTTCAAGTAAAAGCGAGATTGTTATTATTATTATTGTCCTCCTACAACTCCATTTTAGTTAGCTGCCTTTTAATTGCATGTATCAGCAAACATTGAATAATGATTTTATCTATATTCTAAATTTAGAGCAGTTAAATGCAAAGCAAAATGCAGACACTTTCTTGTGTCTTAATTGAATGAAGGTCACAGCTATAACAACATTTAATTGAGCTATTTTTCATTATCATATTTTAATGACTTTGCACTGACAGTTCGCCTGCTTCTGAGGAAAGAGCATGATGAAGTCGTTTATTTCCCTATTTAGTTATTGTTTGACAACATCATCTTCGATTAAGACTCTGCTTTATAGCACATTAATCATATTTGAATGAGCAAGGGGTATAAATGTAAACATATCTCCCATCCTGTGTTTCCCCATGTCCCTGCATGAAGGCAGGCTAAACAAATGCTTGCATCTATTGTCTGTTTGCATAATAGCCAACAACAAGGCTAAACACCAGTCCTCAGCAATCTAATTGTCACCACCCCTATCTCACCCTTGCACCTTTCAGGAAGAAGTTATGATCTTCCACTTCTGAATGCTCAATAATTGTCCCATTTATCTCAATTTGCAGTTCAGTCTTTAGGCACCAATAGCCAAAATGGCATTTTTTATTATTTTTTTAAGCCAGTACCTACAATGCAGTGGCAAAAGGAGATTTTCATTTCCAAATAATAATCAGTTTAATTTGCCCGCATATGACCAATGATTCATGTTCAGATTTAATAATCAGGATCGCATAATCTGATTATAGGAGAAATAATTTGTTTACAATCCCCAATTTACTGCAGTGAATTCCATTATCTCTCTTCAGCCATTGGGTTTTAAGAGATACTAACATGACCCTAGGGAACAAAAGGCAAGCTATTATATTTCCTACAATTAGATCTTTGCATAGTCTTAACCCCGAGCACCTAAATAAAAAAAAAAAAAATACAAAAACAGCATGCAGAAAAACCCCATATATAAAATGAATACATAATGGTGTTCAAAAAATGGTTTGCAGCTCTGTGGTGGATGCCTGTAGAGTTACAGGGATCCATCTCTGACAACTGCAGGACTGCTGTTCTTAGCAGAGCTTGTAGACACACAGAGCTAATCCCTGGATATGGAAAAACAAAC